CACTGACCGTTGACGACCGACACTGGCGTCGTTAAGTGCTGCAATTTCATCACATTCGATGAATGTTGGTGTGATAATGGCTCGACCATCTGACCCACCGACCCTGAGGCTGGGAAAAGTGTTCACATGTGCGCTTTCCGCGTGTCTAATTACTCCGTCTAGGCGAAGTTTTAGCACCGAGCATGAAAGAGGAAGGTCATCGCACTTGGTAATGGAATGGGGGACCAGTAAACCATGACAGAAGCAGCTCACGGCTCACGCGCTGGCGTCATTTATCCGCACCGCTGCCACGTGTTTAGCCATTCTCGTTCGGAGCTGTCTTCCGGTTTCTTCGACGTAGTTGCTTTGTCCGCAACTGCACCAGATCCGATAAACGACTCCAGACGTTTCTTGCCATGACAGTGGGTCTTTCGGTTTCATTACCAGACGCCTGGTGGTTGCCTCCGGTCAATGTGCGACTCCAACCTCAAGTGGTGCGAGAAGGCGGTCGACAGCTTCCGAAACGTTCTTGACATATGGAAGCGCTCACAAAAATTTGGTGTCCGTGCGCTTAAGTCTTTCGTCCCTTTTGCGTATGCACCGGTTGACGAAATGGCGCGGGTGGCCATTGGCTTTGAAGACCCGTCGGAGGTACTGTAGTTCGGCAATTTTGTCTTACGGCTCACTGCAGTACGTTTCGACACGCCGATAAAGCGTCCTTACACAACTGCGTTTGTGGCTGATTGGGTGGTTACTGCTGAAGTTCAGTACTTGCATCGTATTTGTTGCTTTCCTGAACACTTTGGTCTTTAGTCCACCACAATCTTTGCGGCATACGAGGACATCCAGGAAGACCAGCTGATTGTTCTCTTCCTCTTCCATCGTAAATTGTATGTCCGGGAAGACCGCATTCAGATGTTCCGTGAACGTCAGCAGTTGATCCCTGTCGATAACGACGAAGGTATCATCCGCATACCGGGCCCAGAACTTCGGTTTGTGGTGTTGGAAGACCAGCGACTCTAACCGTTGCAGGACCGCCTCGGTGGGAGTGGGGGCTGCGGTGGTAGTCGCCGTCGCGAAGGTTGTGGAGGTGACGGTGACCGACGGCGGTGGCGGAGCACGAGGATTCCGAGCATCGGTGGTGAAGTTTTTGGTCACCGTGGACGACGTGGGACTTGGGGCAGGTGCTGGGGGGGAGGGGCAGGAAATGGGGTTGTTGGGTTGTTGGTACGTTGAGTCAGGAGATGTCCGACGAGGCTGATCCGCGGGCGGAATATTTATTAACAGATCTAGCATGTTGGTGGTGGGAGTGGTGGAGCTGTCGTTGCGGGAGGGGGGCTCCTGAAACTTGCGAGCTTGCCCCCGCCTTTGGCAGCAATGATCCGGTTGGCTTCATAGATGGCTGCTTCAATCTTCAAGGCTCTTCTCCAAGCTGGTTGCTTCTGTGCGACGTTCTCCCAAGTCGTCAGATTAATTTGTGGTCACTGCAAGGAATTATTTAAGGTGTTCTTACAGCGGCCGGTTTGACCTTCTTGCCGGCGAACACCTGTGGCGACAGGTGAGCAGCAGAGTTTTTGGTAGACGCTCATCGCCCATCCTCACAAGATGGCCATTCCAGCGCAGTTGCAGCTGCCTCAACATGGTATGAATGCCGAGAATACCAGTACGTTCCAAAACTGCTGTCCTGCTACCCCCACTTTAGTATCCAGTGGAGACAACTGAGGTTGAGGCGGTCAAGTATCCGCGCTTTTTTCGCGCTGACTATCCCCATCCTTGCAATATAGAGCAGCGTCGTCAAGATAACGGCTTTTTTACACCTTTAGTTTGGTGTTGCGGTGGAGACCGTGACGATTACATACGGAGCTCAACAGTCGACCTAAGATTCTATTGGCATTGCAGATCCAACGTACAACCTAATCGTCGACTTTTTTGCTGCGTGAGAGTGTGATTCCTGGATAGACGAGGCTGTCCACGGTCTTGAGTTGACGGCCGCGGACATTGATTCGAGGAGTGCTGTACTACGTGTTTGGTGACGGTTGATGCATGATCACCGTTTCGCCCATGCCGAGGGTCAGTCCGAAGTTGGCGCATCCGGAGGCGAAGGGGCCATACTCCGTTGCATGTCTTCTTCGGTCGTGTTGATGAATGCGCAGTCGTCAGCGAAAAGTAGGACGCAGTCGTAGATAGTCGCGTTGAGGCCTACATACGCCCACCGTTGTGAAGATGTCAGCCCAACCTATAGGCGATGAGGATTACGGGGCGCACACCACGGCAGGCCATCGTCTGGTGTTGGACATGCGAAACTCTCCGTATCATGCGATAGCAAAGTGGCTAGCAGAGAAACTCAAGCCAATACATCATCAGCTAGCACCACGCAGCTATCCAGATACCTTTGAATTCATTAACGACATTAAAGGCCTTAACCTCGACGGCATGATGATCTTCTCGCTGGATGTCTCATCACTTTTTACAAATGTTCCCGTTACCGAGACAATTAATTACATCGGTGAATTTCTGTCAAACAATCAGCAGCAAATAGGGATTCCGACGAAGACACTCAAGGAACTATTACTAAGATGCACATTAAATGTGCAGTTTCGGTTTGACAACCAACTCTATAGACAAATAAACGGCGTTGCCATGGGTTCGCCTCTTGGACCTCTCCTAGCCGATGTCTTCATGGGCAAAGCAGAGAGATTCCAACTAAGCGATCAAATCGAAAAACTTAAACATTACGGCCGCTATGTCGATGATATCTTTGTAATTGTCACAGCAGAAACCGACGTAGGTGTCCCCTTAAACGCTGTAAATCAGGCACATTCCTCTATCAAATTCACGTTAGAGGTCGAAACGGCCGGTTCGCTCCCTTTCTTAGATGTTCTTATACGCAGAAGGCCTAACGGAAGTGTCCGAAGAAGCGTCCATCGGAAGAAAGCCTGCCCTGGACAATACACAAACTTCACTAGTTTCATACCCCTACAACAAATCCGAAATCTAAACCTATGTTTGGCACAAAGAGCTAGGAAAATTTGCTTAACAGATAGCATCGAGGAGGAACTTAGAAAAATCCAGGACTTTTTTTCGTGAAAATGGGTACCCGGACAGGTTTATCACAAAGAATATGGCCGAACGACCGGTAAAACCCGCCCCATCGACGGTCGAAAAGAAAACTCTGCTCCTTAAAGTCCCTTTTCAAGTGGACGCTGCGGGTCAACTCCTAAAGAGACGCCTTGATCAAGCTGTTTCGCGAACCTTCCCAGCGGCAAAGGTCCAAGTATCATTCTCTACTAACCCTATTTTGCGCGGAGAAAGTAAGGATAAGTTGCCACCCCAGGCCACTTCAATGTGCATCTATTCCTTCACTTGCTCCTGTGGAGCAGGTTATATTGGTCGTACGAGTCGGCGCTTATCCAAGGAAATACGGGAACACCTCCCGGCACGGCTGGGAAAAGGCGAAACTAGGAGCATAAGCAGCGCCATTCTCGCGCATGTGGTCGACTCCGGACATCATGTAGACCCCCAATGAAGCGTTTCGTGTGATCTATAAGGTCCCTTCGAACTATCCTAAACCGCCGGGACAGCGTCCGTTAGCAACAGCAGAGGCGGACGCCATCAGGCTGCGAAAACCAGTCTTGTGCTCACAAACAAACCACGTTCAGGCTCCGCACCTACGCTACAACTCTCCCGCACCCTTCCGCTCTCACCCCGGCCCTGACACTGACTGCTACTACT